TATAGAATGCAAGAAATAAGCTTCAAGATAATATTAAAAACATCTATATGCCGCATACCAGGTTGCACATAAGGCGAAACAAGACATGTCTTGGCCTTCTATCAAGGGTCTGGAAGACAATCTCCAATCCCTGGCCCAACGTTTATGCAAACCCTTTCAGTGAGGTAAGGGCGGCCAAAGGCTTCTGAGCCCCTCCCCTACATAAAAGGGTTACACACTTGCACAAGTCCTTGTAGCTTAGCCGTCGGCCTCCAAACAGCAGGCGGGCCAGGGAGGCTAGAGTGGAGGCTACAGTACCTACCGCATTAGGTAGTAACGCAGCGCCAACTTCCGCTGGGGCCAGTTACCTTACCTCTAATCCAGGGAATAGGATACACCCTGGTATCGCCTTCATCAACTATCCCTGATCAGCATGCACCAAGCATCGATCCTCATATGCCGTGTTTTAAGGTGAGGCCGACTAGACACAGTGGAAGGACACTCGAGAAACACAGCGTTGGATATTGCTTCGACAACCATTCCGATTCTTCATGCGCTGTAGAGCCTCATCAAGCTGTCATGCAACAGATTAACAAGCTTATAGATACAATCTGTATCGAAACCTCGACAAACTGTTCGCTAGACTTGGCGCCGCAGGAGTACCCCCCTCTTTCAAACAGCCACTCAGAAGTCAAAACATGCCTGTCGATCGATGGGTGTGGCGGAATCCACTTTAGACGACCGAGATGAAGAGAGGGTGAAAGGACGGCGTTCGACTGGTCCACACCTTGTTTCCGACCACCAGTTGGCCACTGATATTTCGGCTTTGATACCAGGAACCATACGATCTTCCCAAAACGGTCTGATCTTGGAACATCTTTGCTTCTCGGAAAGTGATTCTCTTGAGAGTTCAGAGAAAGCCTCATCACGCTCTTGTTTTGAAGGCTGAACTCGGCGGTCCGAGACTACAGTACGAAAATGCGTTGGTGACATGTACCGTGCTCCTAGTCATGGACCACTGTCCGTGACCCAGATTCAATGGTGATCCAACAGCCATCTTTCAAGGGTGATATGGGTCTCGGATCCACGGACCTCAGAAACGACCATGGGTGGTCGACCGACTGTGAAAGACCGGGGCAGCGACATGGCCTCCCCCAGCTTTGATGGGCCATCTGCTAGGGCCGCACACTTCATCCCATGTTTGTTGCCTTTACTGGAACCCCCTTGGACCCAGAATGGTTGACCTCCTGGATGATCTGGTACGTAATCTCCGTCTGTATAGGAGTTGATGCTCTTTGTGTGGATGGACATCGGTATTAATATGCGACCATCCTGCGGCCTCAAACTCGACTTTTCTTCTCTTTCTTCTTCAGCCCAACAAGCCATTTCTAAGCTGCCAGTTTCAGAAACTTTTGACTTCGGTCGTCCATTCTTTCACCACTTTCGATATATCAACATATTTTTGAGCTTATAGCTTCAGACTTTCATTACCAACTTTCAACCAATTCTTCAAGATGCGTTACTCTACTGCCGCCGCCGCTCTTCTGGCCTCTGGTGCCATGGCCACCGAGTACTCCAAGGTCTACGAGACCAAGCGAGTTACCATCACCTCTTGCGGTCCTGAGGTCACCAACTGCCCTGCCCGATCTACTGTCACCAGCAACACCGTTTACCCTGTCCCTCCCCAGGTCACCTCTGCCGAGCAGGGCAGCGAGACCACCGAGGAGGTCCCTGAGGTTCCTGAGACCACTGAGGCTCCCTTGACCACCTCTACCATCTACTCTACCAACATCAGGACTATCACCTCTTGCGCTCCCGAGGTTACCAACTGCCCCGCCCGATCTGGTACTCCCGTCGTTGTCACCGAGACCATTGCTGTCTCCACCACCATCTGCCCTGTTGAGCCTACTGGTGGCAGCGAGAAGCCTGGAAAGCCCGGCAAGCCCGAGAAGCCCAGCCAGCCCGGTTATGAGCAACCTTCCGGTCCCGCTCCTCCCGCTGAGACCAAGCCCGTTGAGACTCAGCCCGGCTACGAGCAGCCTCCTGCCCCTCCCGCTGAGACCAAGCCCGGCTCTGAGCAGCCTCCCGCTCCTCCTGCCGAGACCAAGCCTGCTCAGCCTAGCAAGCCCGTTGTCCCCGGACAGCCTCTGCACCCCGGTAACGGCACTGTCCCTCACCCTCCTGTCTACCCCAACCCTCCCGCTACTCAGAGTGGTGAGAAGCCCGTTGTTCCTCCCACTCCTGTTCCCGTCCCCAGCAACCCCGGCAACCCTGAGCAGTGCGTTCCCTCTCAGTCTGTGACTGCCATCACCAAGGAGTACACCACTGTCCTCACCAGCGTTGAGTACTCTACCATCCAGGTTCCTTGCGCTACTGGCACCGCTCCCGGCAACCCTAGTAACCCCGGCCAGCCTGGATCCCCTACTGGACCTGCTGTTCCTCCTCCTGCCACCACCCCCATTGGCGGAGGTAACCAGACGTGAGTATCTCAAATATTCTGACTTGTGAATAATTTACTGACTTTCCTTAAGCGTTCCTACTCCTCCTGTCGTTACTGCTGGCGCCGCTACCTTCGCCGGCTCTGCTTTCTTCGCTGCCGTTGCTGGTCTCGCTGCTTTCATCCTGGTCTAAAACTATTCCCCTTTCTCTTAGCATCTGTTGAAGCCTGCAGGCTATGGCAACTTATGAACTCTTTTGTGTTTAATGGTCTTGCTGGAATGTATAGTACTCGAGTAGACTTTTGAATACATTGCTCTTTTGGCTTACTTCTATGTACTTATATATATCTGATCTACAGTCTGGGATATGCGATTGGAACTTATTTGCTATTGTTTAATTCTGACATGACATATAAATCGCGGAGTCTTGGAGATCTATGTGATTCAAGCTGCTCACAACTCATGAATCGTCAGTATCCGTATGAATGTCGTTGCTATTGGGACAGACACTAGTTGACGCCAAGGAGTATTATCAAGTCCCCCGATTTTCGACCCTGGCAAATCCGGGGTGAAGGGTTCGGTTCGCCAATGCACATGGCACATGCACATGCCCCACCCATCTAATTTCCCAACCTTGACCACTTGGGATCTGAAGCACTGGCGTCGATTATCCAAAAGGGAACACGCAAATTGCCAAATGTCGCTTCAGGGAACTCGTCTTCAATGCATCTCGATCAAACAGGAAGATCGCTCTGTCTAGATTGTGCGTAACATGTGATTTGGGTCAGATGGTTTGCTTGACATGGATCTTGAAGTGAAGTTCATTTTATTTGCTGCAAGATGAGTCTATTCTGGTGTCTGCTGACTCGGAGCTGGAATTGGACTGAGTAGATGAGCAAAGGAGTGAATGAACATGTAGTAGGCTCGGTTCTCACAGTCCTGTTTAGAGAGTTGGTTCAGCGAGCTAACTAGCAAGGCAGTGAAGCCATTTGGTTCGCGTATTACTCTGTAGTATTCGGGTTTGTCTGAAAGCTGTGTTATACCTACTACGTGCCACTCGGATAAAATCTTAAAAGCTAGTAGATACCTTATCTAGCGTATCAGCACGGGAGGTGTTCTCTATAACACGGTGAAAAGTCAAGAACAGGTACCTACCCTGTATTCTCGACTCCGGGATATCTGTCAAGCCCTTGGGTATTATAGCAGAAATATGTATTTTATGCAAGCTGTCATTACTTGTGCCTTTGTCAACGGCTGTCGTATCGTATCAAGCAAGAGTGATCTAGGTAGTCTTTGTTTCCCAAGCATAGTGTCTTTTAACCCAATGCTTGATCCTGTAAATAAGCCTCGCAATCCCTGTTATGTTGGAGGTGCCTATTGATAAGTTCGAAGAGGAAAATGGTAAGAAGGAAGCTCTGAGTTCCCAGGGATCTAAAAGAAACCAATTCTTTTTCCTATCTCATGGTTAATAGAGTGTTCGTGGCAGTTGTAGGGCCACAGTGTTGTGACAGGGCTCAGGTTAACACTTGCCCGTCCCAATCTTAATCATCTCTTGTGATGTTTGATGGATGCTGTACTTGTGTAAGATGAAAAAACACCAAAGTGTTCTGTATTTCTGAATATCTGCCCCCTACAACAATCAACACTTACATGTGTCAGCCCTCATATGCCAACTAGTTACGTGAGTGCCTGACCTTAGTTTAGCTTCTTTGTTATAAGTCATCGGGCAAGACGGATGTCTCCGAATTAGCACAGTTAACCAATTCCCCGCATGATAAGAATGGATGGATGTCTTTGATTTCTTGGAGAAGTTGGGGAAACTCAACGCCACAACAAAAGTACGTACCGCAGATATCACAACTTCAAGTGAGAGAAGTTCTAAGCCATTCAAGCACGCCCCTTTCAGAATGAGCTTGACGAGTATGTTAAAAGCCCTTTATTAGTTTAGTTTAAGCTAGGCTTTATTAGAAATTGTATTTGTAAACTCATAAGAGGGGAACTCGAGCACGAGATTGAGAAGAATCTGGAGATAGAGTTGGCGATAAGGCCTCGGGTATCTTTAGAACAGCTTGTAATATTCTCATCTTGTGATATTATATTATCAGTTTTAGCCATTCTTATGATACAGGGAATGTTTTACAAGACTTCCCCTAGTCTTGATTCGTGTAAAGGATTAGAGGGTATGGAAGCAAGAAGGAACCACTCTGTGCGCAGTCTTGGTTCTACTCTAGATAGGTAGTAAGATTAGGTAGTAAAGAATATCGAATAGATAGGGAGCATTAGATCATGCGACTGCATCAACAACGTCCATTTCGTCATCGTGACATCTAACTTTGGCATTTACTGTGGGCTAAGTCACGATGTAGGTACCTTATTCAATGCCCTCCGAACGTGGTTGACGAATGCCACAGTCAAGGTATGACCTGCCACAAAAGTCAGTTCACAAAGGATAAAGAGCATTTAAGGATACAAACCCCCCCCGGGTCTTGATTTCATTATTTATCTTTGTTCAATATCACGTTCCTTTCGCAAACACTCTTATCCATCCGTATACCCTATCAAGTATACACTTACGACTTCAAAATGGCTTTAGACGAAATCGCTGCCGTCGAAGAAGCAAACCATTCCAACTCTGCAAACGAGAAAAAAACCACTCTTGCTGCGAGCAACTCGAACTGGTCCTCCAGGAGGAATACCTACGTCTCGGAAGCTATCGAGGATGAGGTCTTTGGCCACGTTGGCGAAGGCGAACAAGGCCCCAACTACCGCGCTGTACGTAGCTCTCCCTCTCTACCATGATTTGTGGCGCTAATGTAGGTATGTATACCTAGCTTTCGTGGATAGGTACCATCGTCCTCATGACGAAAACCCAAGTCGGTCTCGGTGTCCTCACTATTCCCAAAACGTTCCATACCCTCGGACTCCTCCCCGGCATCTTTAGCCTCGTAGCCATCGCTGGCATGACATCTTGGTCAGGTTACATTGTTGGTACTTTCAAACTCCGCCACCGAGAAGTGTATGCCATAGATGATGCTGGAAAAGTGATGTTTGGCAGAGTTGGCCGCGAAATCTTTGCTGCCATCTTAATGCTGAGTAAACATTTCTCTCCCCCCCCATAGGTACTAAGGCTACTACGTACTAATATTATACAGACTGGGTCTTCATCTCTGCATCAGCCATGCTGGGTGTCTCGGTTGCGCTCAATGCTATATCAGACCACGCCCTTTGCACCTGGGCTTTTGTCATTGTCGCCGCTATCAGCACGGGTCTCCTATCCAGTATCCGAACCCTGGGCAGAATAGGATGGATTGCATGGGTTGGTGTTGCCGGCATAATGATCGCCATCTTCTCTGTTACCATCGCTGTTGGAGTCGAAAGGAGGAAAGATCCAGCGGTTACTCAAGGAGACTCGGCGACATTCAGGCTTATCAACAACCCTCCATTTGCCGATGCCATGGCAGCAGTCTCTAGCCACATCTTCGCCTACGCCGGCGTGCCCGCCTACTTTCCCATCATCGCCGAGATGCGAGAGCCGGAGCATTACACATCAGCGCTTATCTGGTCGCAGAGCATTATGACTGCTGTCTACGTTGTGATTGGGTTTGTTATGTACTGCTTCGTCGGCTCCGAGGTTGCATCTCCTGCTCTGGGTTCCGCAGGGAAAATCATGAAGAAGGTGGGCTTCGGATTTGCTCTGCCGGGCCTTTTAGTCAGTGCCATGATTGTCACTCATGTAAGTCTTCCCCAAAACAAAACCAGCATCACGTCATTTCATTATTAACAACAGCTATAGTTATCAGCAAAATACATCTTCCTTCGTGTCCTCCGCAACTCTGATCACCTCCACCGCAACAATCTCATTCACTGGGGTACCTGGCTTGGCTGCATTGGCGGCATAACTATTCTCGCCTACATCATAGCCAGCGCTATTCCCGTGTTTGATCCTCTTGTGTCATTGATTGGTGCATCTTTCGGTGTCTTCCTTTGCTTCCAGCCCTTCGGATTTATGTGGCTATACGACAACCGGAGATACAGGAGCCGCAGCCTCAGGTGGAGAGGAAAGATGGCCTGGAGCGTATTCATCATCATTATTGGCACCTTCCTCATGATTGGTGGTATATTTGGCTCTATTGACGGCCTCATTTCTGCCACTACGAATGGAGATGGTGGCCCTTGGAGTTGTGCCGATAATTCTGACCCTCCTAACTCAACGAACACTCCCTAAGCATGGTTGGCTTTCTTTATACTCTAGATAGTCCTCCTTTGCCTTTTCGTAACTTGATAGTATAAATCATAAGATATTCTATATGCGCATGAAACTCTAATATAGTCAAGTGAGCAGTGCACAGATAAAATCTCACTTACCAAACTCTGGTTTCGTTGCAGAATGTGACTTGTGGAACTTACTGTCCTGGCAATAGGCAGATTCCCCCCGCAGCAGACTTGTCCTCTGAGTTACCTCATAGATTAGGAGATACAGTACGTAGATAGGGCTATAATTGAGTTTTGTGGTTGCATGTATAAAATTGACTTTTGTTCTCCTCTAAATTTAAGCTTAACTAGATGCCAATAGGCCAATCATGTTTTCTCCGGCACTTGATGCTACTTAAGGCACTTGGCAGGGGTGCACCCATCATTAGGTTGGTGTGAGATTCCCGAATAGGCATCTCAGGATCTTCTGGGGTTCAGCCAAGACCTTGGCATAGCGACATGAATAATTGCATTCTTGGCTATATTTAATGCTTTGCATAAACGTTGAACCCCCATCATCGTCGGGTGTGAATATTGAAGCCAACTAAAGACTCCCTATTGGGAAGAGGAAAAGCGATACTATCAGAGATTGTGAAGTTGAAGAAGAGACTCTACATACCGGACGAAGATCGAAGCCGAAAACTCAGTTTCTATCAAAAGTCCAAGCTATAGGGCCGAGATGATTTCGCGATGAGCCTGCCAGTAAGCGAGGTCCGTATCGCCACGATTACAGATCTCGGTGTGAGCCGTGTTCCCCAGTGTGCTCTTGGAAATTATTCTAGCTCAGTCTACCTATGCTGTGTCTCCTTATCCCAGCTATGTTAGTATAAGGGGCCTAAGACGGCATTTTTCTTGACTTGTTGCATGTAGGAGACAAATCCTCCTCAGGTTTGAGCGCTGCAGGCTGCGAGATTCGTTTCTGTCCTGATATTGACGACATCCAATAGACTTCGGTGTGGTATTTGGAGGTTAGAGGATATCTTCGTGGGACAAGGCTTAAGTTACGAGAACGTTGTGCGAGATCGGGCCGAGTATCAGCCACGACCAATAGAGCTGGAGGTATTACATAGACTTCTTATGTTTCTATTTATCTTTCATTAGCTCTGGGGCGTTGTCTCGGTAATGTTCCCCCATAATGCCTCGTTAGGAGAAATGGTAGCATGACCTGTAGTTGGAGAGACTCGATGGCTGTTGGAGGGCGGAACTGCCTGTTGGAGCATTCGATCGACGGTTGTAGTGGTACCCAGGCTATAAAGCTAAGATGTCGAACCACCATCAGTTAAAGTCTTTACCTAATGGTTGTAAAACTAGTAAGTTGGAGATTGAATTTGCGAAGACTGCTTCACTGTTGTTCAACTCCGCCATGGTACCGTCGAGTAGGTGGACTCTGTATACATTAAATATGACCAACAGACTCTTGGCACGACGGTGGGCACTGGTAGCAGAGATGTCTTTAGTTGCGGTGGAATTTGACCGTTTGTAGTTGCAGAAGTCTTTGTTTCTGTGAATTCGTGAGTAACAAGGCTCACAGAGTGTTGACTGCAGGGCCAAGAAATGATAAGGTTCCTTGAAGGGTATGATTAGGTAATGAACGTTGAAAACGGAAGTATGAGGCTCTGTTCGCACTCGGATCGGAGCTATAAAACGGCTAGGTTGCATCTTGGCCACTGGTACGGACACGGAGTCGGACCAAGTGGCATGCATCCTACTCCGTACGGACGGAGTACAGTCATACAAACAAATAGCCTGTAACTAAAGGACAGTTCCCCTACCAATAAACCAAAACCTCGCTAGCATGTCAGATTCTTAAGCTTCGTGTTCAAGAATCTGACCAGTTCAAACCGCGTGGCCCGCCCGCACCACGTAAGAATGCGGAGAGAGAGGGCATCTTACGATAAAGGTTTGTGATTGTATGTATTGTGGTGAGAAGATTGGGCTGGAGTACGAATCATTACGCGTACACGTGTTGAAGTCAGCGAGGTTTAAATTGGTGGAGTGGATGGTAAGATAATAGTTTGGTGGATTATGGATTATGATTGTGGATGGGCTGGCGGTTAGATAGCTGTTTCAACCTGCACTGCAGTCCAGCAGACAAATGTCTTGCAGAGACGAGGAGGTGCTATTTCAAAGGCTGGTATGCTGCAAATTACAATGCAGAGCTTGTAGAGCTGAATATGCAAAGCGAGGTTTGTACACAAAGCACACATGTCAGCAGAAGCAGGAGAGGGAGTGAATCCCCAGTGCTGAGCTGATGCTGGGTGTAAGCCGGGTCAATTAACCAAATCTTACAGGAAATAAAGAAAAACATGCCAAAAGGTAAATTAACATTAGTCCCATTCATCATTATCCTAAAATTGTCGTCGGGGAAAAAAAAGGGAAGAAGAAGAACAGGGTGACGCAAGTCAGGCTGTAAAGTCAAGGATAATGTATCCAAGCCTCCACGAGTGAAACTGAAAGAGAAAGCGATTCGAGAGAGAAAAGGGCTGAATGACGCATCATTAATTACCTAGGTAGTTAACGGGTTAGAGTCCTACGCAGCGCTCATTCCCGTGGCCGAGACGATGATTGGTCAGATCGTGGTGATCAATCTCACTCGGACTCGCTTCTCGCACTTTGACTTTTTAGCGTGCGTGGGTTTTACTTCTACCCGACCGCTATCTTTATCTTTGGGTCCTGATGTGATAGGCTGATCTGCCCCGTTGATCAACATTCCTTTGGATTGATCCTTGTGCTTTCTTTCTTTCTGGCAGGGCTTGATGCTGTTTCAGCTGTAAGCATCAGAAGGACATTGTCACGAAAAGATACTGAATGAGGACATATCTGTAGTGAGTCTAGCAGTCTTAAGGATCTTGAGCATTGTATTGTCGTGTAAGCCAATATGCAATTCGTATCTTCTTACAGACCTTGATAGACCTCATAGGTAGGTACCGGCAATACCATCCAGAGCGTGGATCTACATGCGGCTTTGTTAATGCTGACACTGCCCCGTTTTCGAGGCTGATGTCCATGATCCTTCGTCTTATTGGTCTCAATGATCGACATTCGCATCAAATGCCTTGCCCTTCGCGCTAAAAAAGAGCGAGAGCGACAGCAAAGCCGCCCGCTCTTAGCATGCTTAGCAGATGAGCCTCCTTGTGGTTTTAGTGCCATTCGTTCATTCATTCATTCTGCTATTCCGTGTCTGCAGTTTGAGAGTCCGAGTCCGACATTATCGCTGCCATAGCCATTCTTACATATCACATCACATCAAATCTGCAGCTCTCATCATGTCTATATCAATGGCCCATCCTCCCCCTCCAACAACATTCTTTTCTCACCATCACTCACACATCAGCATCTACATTCCTGCAATCCTACAATCTTGTCTACTGTCTCCCACAAAGCTTAGCAACACATAAGCTTACCTTTATCCGGTCGAGAATAAATACAACTACATCACTCACTTCTCCTTTACTATCCCGACTTACACGCTTATATCGACTTACAAGGCAATACACATCAACCAACATGCCTTACAATTACACCATCAGGCCCGAAGATGCCTTCGGCTCCGACTCGCCCTGTAACTTGGATACTTGCCCCGTTGAGTGGAGTATCTACAGCTACCGACCATCTCTTGCTGCCAACATCGTCTTCGTCGTTCTCTTCAGTCTTATTGGTCTCGTCCACGCATATCTTGGTTTCCGGTGGAAGAGTTGGGGTTTCATGACTGGTATGCTTCTTGGCTGCCTCTCTGAGATTGTTGGTTATGTCGGTCGTATCATGATGTGGTACAATCCCTTCTCCTTCAACGCTTTCATGATCCAAATTGGTAAGTCTCAATACTTCTCATCCAACTTTACAACCACAATCTAACACCTTGTCATAGTCTGCCTCACGATCGCTCCCGTCTTCTATACCGCTTCCATCTATGTCACCCTCTCCAAGACAATCAACTTCTTCGGCCCCGAACTCTCTCGCTTCAGGCCCGCGTTGTTCTACTGGATCTTTATCCCCTTCGATATCGTCTGCCTCATCCTTCAGGCTGCCGGTGGTGCCATGTCTACCGAGTCTGATAGCAATGTTGGTGTTGACGTCTCAATGGCCGGTCTTGTCCTCCAGGTCGTTGTCCTCGTCGTCTTCATCGCTGCCTTCTCTGATTACATGATTCGATACTGGCGATCTGGCCATGCCAAGGCCTTCGGCTGGCGCGAGACTGCCTTCTTTGCTGGTCTCTCTACTGCCATCATCCTTGTCCTCACTCGATGCATCTACCGTGTTGCTGAGCTCCGCGAGGGTTATGATGGTGATCTGATCAAGCACGAGATCCCTTTCATCATCCTCGAGGGTATTGTCATCGTTCTTGCTGCTGTTGCCCTCTGCTTTGGTCACCCTGGTCTTGTCTTCAACAAGCCTCAAGTCACCACGTCTGTCTCTCAGGTTGAGAAGGGTGTTGTTTCTGGCTCTGAAAGCAACAACTAAGCTATCAGTCGCTCGTACTCTGGGGGGGGGGGGGGGGGCTTCTGGCCTTTGACTGTAGAAGATGTTTTCTTTTGTTCAGCGGATAGCGATGTGGTTATCACTTTTGATTTTGATTCCCTCTTGTTTGTGTTTGGGCCTGATAGAATTGGAATACTGGATAGGTACCTTGTAGCTCTGGCGATATGAAGACTTGCCATCGAGCTTTAGATGAGTTATTGAACGATTTCAGGATGGGATAGATGGATGGTATATGCCATATGATGAGGAAATTGGAATAGAAATACTTTGAACAATCTTTCGTTTTTCATCAGTCTGCAACACTGGAAATGAATAAAGAGTGCTCTACTTGTCATTCCTTCTCGATGACATATCTTGATTGGTTGTCTGAAAGTGCAACTCTTGGTGAAATGTCAACCAATTGGCTTGGATGCCACGAGCCAGGAATAGGATAAAACAGCGAATGGTATTGGTACATGTTGGACACATTGCGCAGCCTGCATTTGAGATTGACCA